GTGGATTAACCAGCAGATTTGCCCCGTGTGATAACGTCCCTAGTCCAGGTATTTTGTAAGAACAAAACAAAAACAAAAAATCCAAAGATGTATTGGAACACATTTGCCTTGCCAAGCAATCAATCTGCCACAAAATAAAGCCCCAGTCCCTATTCTAGGCATGGCGAGACACCGCGGTAAATAGATCCTGGGAAGGACACGAGTGAAACGTGAATGTTTGTCGTTTTTCGTTGCTGCATCATCCCTTGGGCAAAAGATGAAGAGTTTTGCAAAATGCTTAGAGGCCATTAGTGAAATCATTGTGGTTCATCACCCAGCGTTTCCCAAGCAGGAGAGGGGGAAAATGTGATGTGAAAGCAGAACATTGAGCTACTGCTTCAAAAACATTTCCTGTATTGTATTGACATTTCTATAGAGCTTTTCATAAACATCTCTGAAGATTTTGTAGATCCACAAGTTACCTGCCTTTAGTGAGTGCTGCAGGTCAATGTCTCCTCTCATGAGCACACACAAAGCCCACTACATTTGTTGAAAGCCGCACAAGTGGAGAGAAATTTGGCCTTCACTGAATGAAAGTTAAACCAGCACAAAGTAGTAGAATTCAAAGCTATAGCCGTGTTAGTCTGTAGAGAGATCTTGTGGCAACTTTGAAACTAACAGGAAAAAAAATTGGCAGCATGAGCTTTCACAGACTTCAGTCTACTTTATTTAAATGCATCTGAGGAAGTAGACTGACGTCCACGAAAGCTCATCCTGCCAATTTCTTTTTGTTAGTCTGAAAGGTGCTACAGGATCTCTCTACCAGCACAAATTAGTTTTCTTTGAGATTTCTCACACTGGTGATCAGGTATATCACAAAGCTGCACCAGTTGATCTTTCAAAAAGCATTTAATCAGGTTGCTTCAGGTTAATCATTGTTCTCAATGAGAGCTCTTCTGTGGCTGCTATAGTTGTTGCTAGATGCGGGGAACATATGTCTGTAGAATGACCAGTGTTTTGCTTTTTTGCTTCAAAACTCAGTTTCCTCAGTCAGCATTCAAAAAGTGTATTCAGACTGTCATAAATCTATGTTAATTATTTTGTCGTGAGACATGTCAAAGGATTGTGCCTGAGTTGTCTTTTCAATTATCTCTGTGGCAATTAATTTATGGGAAGATGAAACGATGAGGGAGCCAGCCTGGTGTCGTGGTTTGAGCGTTGGACTATGAATCTTGAGAACAGGGTTCAAAACCCGGCTCAGTCATGTGACCTTGGATAAATCACACTATTTCAGCCTCAGAGGATGAAGAAATTTGGCAAGAAAACCCCGTGATAGAGTTGCCTTAGGGTAGCCATAACTCAGAAATGACTTGAAGGCACACAACAACAACAACAACAAACAAACAAATTAGGTTTTAGAGTGATTTCAGGCATTTTATTTTACTGATTGCTATTTATTTGTCCCCTGCTCTTCAAAGAAAAGAGCCAGCACAAAGGAACTTACAATATTAAACAGGTATAAAATACAGTTAAAACAATTCATTGTTCAATACAGCAAGTGATTTAATTAGAACAGCCACCAAAGGCTGGAATACAATAAAACAAGACAATTAAAAGAATTCCTCAAACAAGATCTCCACAGCATGTTGACTTCAGCAAATGTCCTTCCTTAGTGGATAACATAGTCATGGAACTACACCTGTCAGAGCTTTGGTTGCATCTGCACTTCAGAAATAATGCAGTTTGGCACTGCTTTCATCCTCATGGCTCTATCCTATTGAATCCTGGGATTTTTAGTTTGTTGTAGCACCACAGTTCTCTGACAGAGAAGGCTAAAACTACAAATCCCAGAATTCAATAGCATTGAGCCATGGCAGTTAAAGCAGTGTCAAACTGCATTATTTCTGCAGGAGGATTAGGTCTCCATGTCTAGTTGCAGTCAGATCTCAGCTAATGGCAAAGCTGAGCAGGCTCCAGGCCTACATAGGTCTATGTGGCAATGATAGTCACACTATCTGAACAAAATTATGATGTTTTAACCACTGGAATGCAGTATAGTATATAGCGGCATTATTTAAGTGTATCCCATCCTTTCTCCAAAGAGCCTGAGGGCCAAGTGTTGTGCCATATAGTTGTATACTTACAACAATACAGTCAAGTAGGTTAGGCTGAAACATTGGAATTTCCCTAAGGCATTAAATGAGCATCATGACTGAGCATAAATTAGAACCAAAGGGTCTTGGGTATTCCCCTCTGGAACAGACCCATTAAGTCCATTATTGAATTAAAATATAAATAAATCTTATGGGTTCAATGAGTTCACATTATAATATTCTGGTTCTTGTCCTATAACTTTGAAAATATAAAGAAGTTTAATTACCTATTCCTCACTTCTCTACTACACCTCTGCTTCCTCCTCTGCACACTTATATAGCATGCTTCAATATATATATATATATAGATATATATGCTGAAGAGTTCTGAGCCAGATCCCAATAGGAAAGAGATTTGGGGGTTGATTTGGATAGTGTAATTGCAACATCAACCCACTGTGTCATTCCTGTGGAAACAGGCAATTGTTTTTCTGATTTTACTGTGAAAATAGCAAATGTTGAGGATCATTAGGAAAGGAACTGAAAATAAAACAGCCCATTGAGCAATGCCACCCACATCCCTTCCACCTTACATTCTGCAAGCTGTGTTCTCTATAGTTTAATACATGCCTAGCTTAATCCACAGACCAGGTAGGAAGGCAAAGTATTATCTTGACCTCATTTAGCCCCACTGAATTCCGTAAACCTGGGTTCAATACAATTACTGCACAATGTTAAAGTTATGAATTTAACTGCGAATTCAGCCAAGACTTAACTTGTTGGATGAGCTGTAGGAGGCAGATTACACTGCAGCAAAGACTGGCTACAAGCACAAAAATAAGTAATTCTTCCTAGAAGTACAGAACTGTAAAGCTGGAAGAGATCCCAAAGTGACTTTCATATAGTCCAACCATCTGTCAATGAAGGTCTCCACAGTTTAAATATCTCTAAAATATGTCCACTCAATTCCTGTTTGAAAACTGCTAATGAAGGAGAGTTCACTACCTTTTAGGTTTGTCTGTTCCACTGTCAAACAGCTCATCATGTGGGAGGTTTTCCATTTATTCAGTCAAAATCTTTCTTATAATTTGA